CAAAATGTACTCGGAGGGGGGTTGCGGCCCCGCCCCTCTGCACTGTTCACGCTGCTCTTAAGTTAATTAGTTTGACCAAAAGGAGCTCTAAAGTCATATTTTCATGTTCCACAAGTGCCAAAGCATCAATAAAAATGGTTTCATTTTACCAATTTAAATTTTGTTTTCATTTGCACAGTTTCAATTCGATCTGTTAGACAGCACTGTCATGCATGCTTTCATGTGCATGTAGGCCTACCTGTGTTAGAAAAAGGACATTTCGTGACATTAGTTATACTCTATTTTCATAAACTCGGTGTCAAAATAACCGCAAGACATCAGAACAACTGTGAAAGAAACTTGGCAGGATTTAACAAATGCCTTGCGACGATAGGAGCCAAAATGTACGTGGTGGGGGGTTGAGGCCCCGCCCCTCTGCGCTTTTCCCGCCGCTCTTAAGGTAATTAGTCAAACCTAAAACCACCCTTAAGTTATGTTTTTATATTCCATGAGTGTTAAGGCATCAATGGAAACTGGTTTTATTTTCTCCTCTACCGTTGCGTTGCAACGGTATCAGCGAAAGTGAAAAAGAAGGGGGTGACGGCCACGCCCACCCTCCGCGTTTTTCGGGCCGTTCTTAAGTTGATTAGTCTGATCTAAAATCATTCTTAAGTTATATTTCCATAATCTACAAGTTCCAAGCTATCAAATGATACTGGTTTCGTTCTTGTTCTCAACATTTTGATAAAATGCAAAATTGGCCCCACTTGGCATGTTCCCAAAATTTTAATTAAACACTATCCGGCTCTCAGTCTATTACAAGCTGTATTAGCATGAGAACATGGATGTGAGCGTTTGGGTCAGAAACAGTTCCATTAAAAAGCATTGTTACCAACATCTTCATGGCGAGTACAATTTGAAAATGCCTTTTCATTTACTCAATCACAGTAAATCCAGAAGGAAGGTGCTAATAATTATCGTGCTAATGCTAATCTGCTCATTTATCCGCGCTGTGGTTTGAAGAATGCCTGATAGGCCCTATCTGTGTGTGTTGTGCAGCCAGTGGGGGGTTTGTAAAAGACTGACAATGAGTGTTGCGGTTATGGTGCTGTCAGAGGGACTTTCATTACAATGGGTCTAAGCCAATAGAGAGGTTTTTATTACAAACGAACAATGGGTAAACCTGGCTTTTGTTTGATCAGGAAAGCTACCCCAAGTTTGGTGCAATTAAACAATTAAACATAAACGATCCCGCTTCCTCTGGCTAGTTGTTTTTGTAACTGCAAGTTCTAGTTTTGGGAGTTCTTATGCACTGTTCCAGCAATGAATGACACCATCTATAGTGTGGTGACTGACCTGATGGAGTTTTTGGCCAAACAGCAGCACAAACAACTTTCACGGAAGAAGATCACAATGACTTCTGTACCACATCGCTGATAGTGTGCAAAACATGAACTGACCCCTGGAAAAAAGCAACCCCTTCCCCCAATGGTAAAAAGAGCAGAGAATAAACAGAACGGAGAAATAATTATGAAGAATGGAATGCTTTCAAAATCGAAACATCTCCATCCCTTAATCCAGATGACTATAACAAAAAATAGAAGTCAAACAGAGAAGGGCATAAATTAGTAAAGTCTAAAAAAAAAAACATAAGGGGCAGGATCTTTATCACTTCATGTCAAGCGTGTGATGATTTAAACTATTCCCACGTGCAAAAAGTGATGGATAATTTGTCTCTTTTCCTGCCTTTAATTTGTATTGTCGTCGTCATCTCCCAAAATTTGATGTCATCAAACTGCAAAGGTGCATTTTCAAATGTCTCTATCTACGGAACCGTATGTCCAATTTGGTTGTAACTTGGAAGGTTTACCAAGACTGGGATGTGTCACCATGATGACGTCATCACATGTCACCACATGTCACAGAGTCATTTCATATAGCCACTACAACTATTTTAGTTTATTGTAGTGCCATTACTTTTACTAAGTTCCCAGTTTGTACCCCTAGAGGGCAACAGTATTCACAGATGGAACACAGGCGTGCATGGGGTCCATTAACAGAAATGACTCTACTATATTCACAGTAACTTTTTACAACATATCTATATATATAAGAGAGAGTTTAACTCGGCCTCCCAGACGATGTTTGCTCATGAAAGGATCCGAGACCGCGGGCTCCCGCGACGCCAAAATCGCTCCACGTCCGTGGCAAAATGCGGAGGGTGTCTTCCGCCGGGTCGGACACTTCGGGTCGTCCTGATTTTCCCGTACGGACCGGCGATCCGTTTCGTCGATTTTTCGTGACTGCGTTTTTTGCAGGAATTTGCCGTCGTGTGCGCTTTCACTTTGACTGCCTGTCTGCCCCCTGTGCTGGCTTTTTCTGCGTGTCTAGACTGTGCGAGGTCAGCGGCTTCGACGTAGGGGTTGCGTTTACGTGTTCTACTGGGCTGTTTTTCAAAAGAGTTCACCAAATGGCAGCATGGGGTGACCTTGGCAAAATATTTTTTCTCCATGGTGCGTGGCCATCAAGTGTCCCTATTCTTTCATATGCTTCGCTTGCCGCCCCTGCGCCGAGTGCAACGAATACTCAGAAGGACCACACATTAGTATGCCTTGCGCGGTCTGACCAATCGAAAGTCTACACTGCATAGTATTTCCGGGCTATGCAAAACTGTCGATGGCAACGCGTACTGCAGCCTGCTCCACACCCTGCAAACGAGGTTGGGTCTACGGTGCTCGCTATTTGAAGCGCAAGCATGTGACGTCGCGTGATAGAGTGCTGTTGCTTCCATAATGTGTTTACAGCTCCATGCTTCCACCACCAAGCCTGAGCGTTGTGAGTTCGCTGCCCGCCACGTATAATTCAGTGTCGCGTTATATTTTCGGGGGCCTGTTTGGGGTCAACGAAGGATCGATGCATTAATGCTTCAAATATCGCGATCTTAAAACGAAGTCACAAAAAAATCGACGAAAAAGTGTCCGACCCGGCGGAAGACACCCTCATTTTTCCACGGACGTGAAGCCGCGGTCTCGGATCCTTTCAGAAGCAAACATTTCTCGGAGGCCGAGTAAAACTTGCTCTTATATATAGATGGTTGAACCAACTTGAATAAAAGTTGAATCGCAGACGGTCTCGCAAATTGTAAGAAGTTCAAGTTTACGTTTGTTGAAGAGTCCAATACTGAAACTTAATTATGACCTTCCTCCATGATTCAGACCGTTTGTAATTTTTTGGTAACACTCAACATTTTCATTTTAAATGACACCTTCACGTTTTATTGCATTATGATTTATTGTCAAACTGTACAACCAGCCTTCGCCTGTGTACTACAGTAACCTTTTCACTACGTTTTCCAAATGCGACTGCCTCACAAAAAGCCAATTTAACAGACCAACGGCAACATTTACAGACAGTTGCCATGGTACATAATTATCATGTGCGTAAATCGACGGGGGACAGGGGGAATCCCCCCCCCCCCCCCACACACACACACACATTTTGAGGGGGGACATTGTTTGGTCTTCCCCCCCCCCCCCCACACACTTTTTCTTCCCCGAATAAAATATTGTAGCCTACAATAATGATTCTATTGCTCAGAATACATGTAGCTGATTCAATTACTCACAACTCACAACTTTCACAGATGATCTTTTGCTCAAATTGGTTTTAGTGATCAGAAATTGCCTCAGATCACACCACAGAAATTGCTATTCTTTAACTGCATGTCTCCCCAACTATATCCCCCATTTACATTTAACTCCCCACATTTTCATCCCCAACACTACGCCCTACCCGATCTATGATCGGGTAAACCAGCTTGTAGATATATATATATATCTTAAGAGCAATATTTTCCGCATTTGTGCAAATGTGAAAAGCTTTCATTTTATTTTTGCATGCGTCAGTGTAAGTATTAAATACTGTTTCATTGCTTAGGGAGTCAAGCGGTTGTAGCGCAAGCACTTACATGTACTTGTTCTGTCTTTCCTTTTCTTTTTCTGCTATTGTCAAGCTCAAGTCATGATGGTTTGGTGACATTTGTGTAGGTGGTGGATGTAGTGGTGAAGTAGACTGGACTGTATCAGTCTTGTAAAGTAGATGTGTGTGTTTTAGATGTCTCATCAGAGCATTTTGTACACAAGTCCTTGGGCATATTGCTGGAACAGCCTGTGTCAGAAATACCCTATGGAATTAAAGACACTAGAGCCCAAAAAAATTCCCACCTACCAACCCTGTTTTTGAAAAGCATGTAATCTGAAGCAGAGCTATTTTTCTCGGCCTAAATTATGTTGTATTTGTTTTATTACACCTTATGCATAGCTTTGTTATCAAGAGAATAAAAATTAAGTTGACATAACTTCAATCCAGACACCAATAAAAAGAAAACTTTGTTTATCATGAGGATTTGAGTATGGCACCTCTAACAGATTAACAGGCATTTGCTGGGGATTCACAGTTGGAAGCTAACCTAAGATACTATTGCATAGCAACACTTGGACTTCATGAACAATTCTGTTTCCCTAATGCACTGGAACACCCCACAATGGGAAGTGTGCGAGGTCATAAACATGTGCATTGGGTGTAATATCTTTTGCTTAGGACTACAATATAGTCCTTTTCATGATGTTTCCACATGTACATGTATTTACATGCACGGTTGTTTGGTACCACACATACATGTACATGTAACCAATGGAGAATGGATGATTAGGCCAAAAAAGAAAGTCTTTGGTTTCTGGTATGGAGCTTGCCCCAAAAGTGGTGCGGCAACGCGGCTTTTGCTGACGCGCATGGCTACGGCAACGCACGCATATTAGAAATTGGAGCCTTTTGGGGGGGGGGGGGGGGACTCGTACATGCAAAATTGAAAAACAATTTGACAGTTGGCTGTTCAAGGCAAATGCTTGGTGTTACATTGTATTGTGAATCAATCCTTTTTACAACCAGTGAACTTTCTTGATTTCTAAATTGACTTTATTTTGATAGAGTGGATCATAGATTTGGTTTACATTTATTCATAGCAGCGTCCAAACTATGAGGTGACAGTTCCTACCGGTATTTCTAGCCATCGCAGCCCTCATCATGACAAGCGAAGCTCCAGCCCAAATCCAGGGACCATATTGGATTCTCAGTGGTAAGTTTCTGGGGTCTCTTATTGATCCATTAGGCCTCATGCCACAATATTAGTAATGTAAAAAGAGTGACCTTAACATGCAGTGTGGCATTGTTGGCGATACATGGATTGTTGCCTTTGTGCAAAGCAGGGTGACCGTAAGGTCATGGCAAAATTCTGCTAGATGCACTTCAAAAATCTGCTAGATTTAACAAAAATCTGCTAAATCACCTATAATTACACAAAATACATAATAAACACTTACACTCTTATGCAGATGTTATACAATTTCCTTAAACCAGAATCAAAATCATGAATTTTTTTTTTAAATTGCGCTCGTCTAGCCTGGCTTCCAATGTCTACATTACTTTAATATGTACTCGCACACATCAGGGAACCTCAATGCTTGACTGGCTGTATGCCTACCTATCCCGTTGTGCAAGGGTCAGTGTTGTAGTCGAGTACCAAAACTTGAGTACCAAGTACACACAGTGCCGAGTACGGGCCGAGTCCGAGTACTTTTTAGTCGAGTCCTGGGCCAAAAATCCGAGTTCGAGTTTTTCAGAGTCGGAGTACGGGCCGAGTACGAGTACAAAGATATCGAGTAAATCCCGAGTACATTTTTAAACTTAAGCATTATGGAAATTAGCACCGTTACTTACATGTGATGTGTAAAGTAATTACCTGGCATTCCAAGAAATTAATACATACACAAATTAAAAAGTGTTGTTTTTGCTTGGAATTCTTGATTTATTGACGATCTTCCTCATTCTGAAGGTTAAGCCAAGAGTCGGTTTTGCAATGCTTATAAATACCTTTTCATTTTGTGTTCCCTATTTTACACGTTTCCAACAGAGAGTGATGTGCACAACCTCTTCCCCACAGATACGCTCTTTCCGCGCCTTGTTAGTTAGAAAATGCCTCGTGTGATCAACGCACATGCAGCCCTTGGAAAGAAGGTTGCGATTTATTTCGCTGGTATTCTTGTAGTATTCAGTAGGAATAGGACAGTAAAAAATGTGCACCAGCAATACTGCGAGCGCTGCCAATACCCATTCACGAATACTTGATTTGGAGTCGATAAAGAATACATCGCGATACTTTCATCATTTTCATATACACTCTGTGAAATTTTTGGTCAAAGTTTAGTATAAAAAAAAAAATCCGAATTTTCTTTCGAGTACTGCGCGACTGGGGTCGAGTTCACCGAGTACAATTTGTCGAGTTAAGGGATGAGTCCGAGTACAAAATTACGAGTACGTGCTTTTTTCGAGTACTTATGATCGAGTACGGGCCAAGTACTTATTGGTACTCGAGTTGTATTCGAGTTCGAGTACGAGTACTCCAACACTGGCAAGGGTTTGTTTGAACAAAATAGAAGCCTTTTCCAAATAAATCAGCTGTATTTTTCAAATCTGCTATATTTTTTGTTCTGTCAGAATCACCCATTTTGCAGAATTTTGCTAGAAATCTACTAAAAAATTCATTCTGCTGGATTTTCTGTCAAAGTCGGGTTTTTTTTTTTAATTTCAAAAATCTGTCAAATTTAGCCCAAATTCGGCTAAAACGGTCACCCTGGTGCAAAGCTTACAGGACTTGTGGCTGAATCCTGATAGGTCAATTTTGCAGAATCAAATCCAGCACATGTACATGTTGTAACCATTTCCAGTTCCCCCAGAACGGATTCTATACACTTCAAACAGATTTTGTACTTGATGGTCACAAATCCACCAGCCAACTGATCAACAGACCAACTGACTGACCAATTGCTCCCTGGGACCAACTTTACAAGGCTTGCTGTGTCTTGATATAAGCAGGATTACTCCTCTCGGTGACCTCACATGATAGAAAGTACCTTTTGGGGTCTACATTTAGGTCATTCCACATGAACTCAACCCAGAGGTCCCTATGGTGATGGACTGAGATTTGGCTTAAACAAAAATAGAAGTAGGCCTACCTTTCTATGTACATGTATTACAAACACATACAAAATTGTAGGTTTCAACTCCTAAGGGTTTCTGAGATATGGCCCTCCAAAGATAGGGTGCCACACCAACTTTTTGGACTGGCAAGTCACTTCATTAATGTATAGGGTTTTTGGGGGCCAATATCTAAGATTTGTGCTGAAAATTTCTGCTTGGGGTAATCTGGCGCCAGGCTGTGAATCTTTTTATATTCAAAAATCAAATATTCTATTTTCAAGGGGCTCTGTTGGCCCAGAATCTGTCACAGAGGGTTAATGATGCTGGATTCCTTACCTTTGTCGTTGAAAGAGCAAGGTACTGTATTTGTATTTGTACTCCTTTAAAATGCTTCTCCCAAACGCTTGGTCCGATTTCAACCAAACATGGCCATATTGACAAATGACCCAAGCTTCATATGGTGTTTTCTCAGATCAGGATCGAAGGTCACTTAATGGTCAGTAGGGGTCATTTTACTGAAACAGGCAAAATGCTTTTTTTGCCTAAATTTTCTTTTAATTAGTGAGGCAAGTTTTATTCACTTTTGATGGCCAGTCTTGATAATTTTTGTGGCGCAAAGGAAAATAATCCAGGCACAAAATAAACATGATTCCTTGCTCTATACCATTTTATTATGATGCTCCATTCAATCAGCACCCCCCAAAAAATTGGCGAAATAATTTTTCCGACCAACCGACGCTATTTTGAAAGGCATGTTATCGGAAGCAAAAGTGATTTTTTTCTTCACCTTAATTTCTTAATTTGAAACTTACTTGTAAATGTAATCCATTCTTTTCTAGTTCAGGAAGCTTTAACACAGGTTATGAAATGTTGATTTTTTTTAAGTTAACAATTTTAATGTTTTTCTTTAATTACAAAAATATAAGGGGCCTACAAGATCTTCTCTGAATTTTAAGGACTTTTCTTAAGTTTCCCCCAGATTTGCTCTAAAATGCACCAGAGAGCTTCTAAAGTTCAACATTTTTAATCCCACCCCTATGGCTTCGCAGGTTGTTGAATCACAGCAAAACTTCCCCCCACAGGTTTGAAAAAATCCTTGGGAGAACCCTAGGACGGTACAAATTAATTTGGAATGAAATGTTTCAATTGAATATCTTGAATGCTTGAATAATTGAATGATATTTCTATACAATTTTTTTTGTGAAAGAACATGCATGGTTTATGAGCATGCAGAACTGTCTGAAATGAAAGGAAAAAAAATACAAAATAAAGTTATTTCCCTACCTAATTACCTGGATTTTTTTTCAGGCCGTTACCGTAAACACACCATTTTGTTTGTTTGGCCTAACTTGATATGTCACAGAATCATTTCAAACAGCAGAAACAGCTGGTGTTTGTCTACAAACACATTTCTAGCTTTTAATTATTTTCTGTTTATTTTTTTTTTAAATGGGGGGGGGGGAGCAGATCTCAATCCAAGTTATTAATAACAAAACAGCCTAAGTTTTTGTGAGTGAAATTATACAACATAAGTAATACAAATTCAAACACAGTGTGTATTCTCTTGACCAGGTATGTGGGTAAAATGGACCGCGTCACAGCCATTGATCAGCTCAAAGAAAAGCCAGACAGTTGCTACCTAGTCAGAGACAGCGTCAAGGAATCAGAGCACCAGACTCATGCCATCAGTATCAAGTAAGCAAGGTTTCCACAGTCATGGACAATTCCTGGAAACTCCTTGGATTTATAGCTATCATGAAAGTTGTGGAAAAGTGGTGAAATTTTGTGAAATTTTGTTCTTTTGCAAAGAAAAAAGTGACAGAATGCACAACCCATATGTGATGATGTGTAATATTTGGCTATGGCAGTCTTGCTGTTTGCAATCAGTTTACTATACAGTAGGACGTCACTATAACACACGATGGGGTCCGTACAAAAATGTTCATTATAGTGGTTGTACCCTATAGTGGTTGTGCATTACTATTAGGGATTAATAAATACCTTGGAGAGTTGATGGTTTCTGATTGGTCGAGACTCGATCACGTGGCCGTGCATTAACGGTGATAATGACCAAGTGAAAAAAATTGCCCCTGAACCAGCATTGATCCAGCCCCATGTGGAAGGCAATGATTGGCCAAATTTACAACAGTCATACGGCAGCTTGTAACAATACAGCACTGCACATGCGCTCAACCACCTTCGCGTGAGACTGACGCGCGCGTACGCAACACAGTTGCTATGGGTGCGCGCGCGCGTAAGGAAGTTTTAAAACGACTGGACATCGTACATACAGCAGTGCAGTATACTGAGGATGTTTACAACGAAAGCGTAGATCTACGATTTATTTTCTTTAAACACTTCGCCCAACGACATATTTACCTTTCCTAAACCAAGCATCTTTGTAATTCTGGACACAAGGAGTGTGTAAACGAAATTTCAGCTTCCTCCATCAGGTAAAAATATGAAAACATTGTTGTAATTTGTTTCGCTACGGCAGCAAAAGTCCAAACCCTGGACGTCGTACACGTATGCAATGAAGACGTTGTCCAGCAATGTCCAGCACAACCTGGGCCCGGCTGTGGTGCATATAACAACGCTTGTCGAAGAGACAGGGTACCACGCATAAGTTAAAATATGGCCCATGAACATGAACACAAAAAAGTCTGGAAATATCGCCGAAAGAAAGTCACAAAATTGGAGCATTTTAACTGTTTATTTCGTTAAAAAGGTATTTTTTGTCTCGGTCCATTAACAGCGGTCACCCCCACACCCGGTCATTATCACGCAGTGAAGACCGGGTCCTCACACTGTTATTCCCTTAATAACAGTCTTAGGATCCGGTCTTCACTGCATGATGATGACTGGGTTGGGGGATGGCCGCTGTCACACCATGGGTCTGTTTTTCCCATGGAGGACAGTAGTGGATATATTTGACAAATCAGCAGGACAGAAAATCAAACTCCGGACGGCAAAATGTGTATGATCAAGACAAAATACTATTTAATTACGACAAATAAATATATTAAACAAACGGAAATTTACTATGTACAAATTATTTCAATTGAATTATGCCACTATATGGATTACTTATACTTTGAGTGACGGATACTCAACTATATCATGGCATTATAAGGATCCTGTATTATGTGTTATACGGCTGTTTCCAATACCCCAAAACAAATGCAATCAACCCCCTAAACAGTCACTGTTCAAAACCTTTTGAAGGACTTGCTGTGTTCAAAGCTCACACTTGTGACACGGGTGGTCGATTTGGAGCACCAGTCACACACAACATCCCTCCGGCGCTTTGACGGTCCCACTTAGGCGGATGAACTCCCGGCTTGGGGAACATGGGTGACCTCTCCGGGCCTTGGAATCTGGCTCGATGCCTGGTCCACACAGGACTCGGTTCCGAATCTTCCTCCGGACTCTCCCAGTAGACCGTGAGTCTTGGGAGTTGGCTAACTGTTGTTCACACAGAACTAGCTATCTGGTTCACAAAGAACCTAGGAATTCTCTATTCCCACAGGGAAAACCCTTTAAAGAAAAAAGTCAAACACTTTTCCACTAAAACCCATTCATGTGAGTTGAATCGAATTACACTACATTTGTATTTCCCTCCCATGCATGTACATCATGGGTAATTTCTTTGGTCCAATTTTCCTTAACCAAATTCAAGTTTCTTGAGAAATCTACCTCCGAAAGAAATCACTTACAATTCACTTATAATAAAAAGAATTAAGCCATTTATAATGAAAGTAAATATCACCTAATAAAATAAACTTACAGTTTGCAGGATAAACTGGCTTTGCACATGGCATCCAAGACCTAACAAAATTACTCAACCATGGCATTAATTTACATACTGCATTTGCATAAGAAAGATTTAGCTCTGCTGTACACTCTGGGTAGCCTCAATTCTGGATGGGGGAGAATTAAATTAACTTGTGCTAAAATAAATGTATAAGTGAAAATCCCATAATTAATTACATTAATAAACCCAATGATAAATACAAAAATTGAAACATTATTTAAAAATATAAATCACACTTTGTGACAGCCGCTGTTATTTGGCTCGGTCCATTAACAGCGGCCATCCCCCAACCCGGTCATTATCACGCAGTCAAGACCGGGTTCTCACACTGTTATTCCCTTAATAACAGTCTTAGGATCCGGTCTTCACTGCATGATGATGACTGGGTTGGGGGATGGCCGCTGTTATTTGGCTCGGTCCATTAACAGCGGCCATCCCCCAACCCGGTCATTATCACGCAGTCAAGACCGGGTTCTCACACTGTTATTCCCTTAATAACAGTCTTAGGATCCGGTCTTCACTGCATGATGATGACTGGGTTGGGGGATGGCCGCTGTTATTTGGCTCGGTCCATTAACAGCGGCCATCCCCCAACCCGGTCATCATCACGCAGTCAAGACCGGGTCCTCACACTGTTGTTCCCATTAATTATCTTTTTAACGATATAAACAGTTAGAATGCTTGAATTTTGTGACTTTCCTTTCGGCGATATTTCCAGACTTGTGTGTAGCAACTGTGTTGCATATGCGCGCTGGGTCTTCACACGATGATGGTTGGCTGTATTGTTACAATCTTCTTTTTTATATTTGGCCAATCATTGGCTTACATGATACTGGATCAACGCTGGTTCAGAGGCCATATATATTTTCGCTTGTTTTTGAAGTCGGTCTTTATACCACATGTTAATACTCCCCCACGTGATCAAGTCTTGACCAATCAGAAGCTGTCCACTCTTCAAGGTATTCATTTATTAATAGAATTTAATATTTTGGGAGCCAAAGGGGATGTTTGTTATAGCGAAATGTTCGTTATAGCTGTGTTCATTATAGTGACGTTTTACTGTCTCCCCCTTATGCATGTTTGCTCTATGCTTGTTGCATGTTTAGTGCAGAATTATGATGCTTTGGTGGTGCCAGTGGCCTTATCGCAAGCTGGAAGGCTGAAGGGAAGTGTATTGCTGGTCATTGAAAAATTAGTTATAAATGTGAGGGTTTAACCACCACATGTCTGCTACTGGTATCTCCATTGGTGTCATGCAAAGGCACTTGAAAGCATGCAATCTATGAAGTCTTGTCCTTGAAATTCATTGGTTGTCAAAAGAAGGTGTTGTTTTTTGGTTGGGGGGGGGGGTGCGTTGCTTGTGTTTTCCTGTTATCCTTTGTATTTTTGTGTACAAACCTTATGGAACATGTTCCAAATATTCGGAACAATAATAAAAAACAGATCAATAAATATGTGAGAAAGTTCACCCATTCCTATTGGACGAGAGCCCGTCACGTGGGTGGTTTTAAATCCCTGATATAAACCGGGTGCTTTTAAACAAAACTCATGCGTTACATTGCGCAGTACGTGCCATGCAGGCGTCAATTTCCATATAAGGAGATAAGCGCTACGCGCATGAGGAACATACCGTCACTTTGCTCACAAAATGACAAAAACTTTGCCTTACCAAGTTTGAAAGCAAAATATAACAGAGCTGTAACGAGTCACTGATTTTTGTGACTCTAGTTGAGTCATTTTAAAGAAGTGACTCGAGTCGAGTTGAGTCATTAGGTCAAAAAGGTCGAGTTGAGTCGAGTCGAGTTGAGTCGAGTCAAATATTTAGCTCGAGTCAATTCGAGTCACGAATATTTGCACACTACATACCAAAATTTATTAAAGGAGGGCATAAATTTAGCCGGCGTTCAAATCCAAGAGCTTTATAAGAAATCGCTCAAAGTCAATGATGCAACAACGAATTGGAAAATGTGTTTAGAATCCGGTTCCTGGATAGTATTTGGCGCGTTCTAAAACCATGAAGAGAGAGAGTGTGACACGTTGTATTTTTGTACATGACAAGCGGCTGCGGTACCATACTGTATTCGCAAAGAGACGTGAACAAACATTTTGCTCCGTAAGTCATTGCAAATACCTTTCACAAAGTTTTGCTTTTATTTTTGGGTCTTGAGTCTTATATGTCTTCGCTTGAGTCAAGTCAAGTCTTCTGATGAGGGAGTTATGTCAAGTCATCTGCTCGCAGTGACTCGAGTCGAGTCGAGTCATTTACCCATAGGGAATTGAGTCAAGTCGAGTCACCAAAAATTGTGACTTGAGTCGGACTCAAGTCGGACTCGAGGTTTTGCCCTTCACTGATGTTTTTTAAACACTGTATACTCAGTGTGTTACCTCCCGAGTGAAGTTGGAAAAAATCACTCGAGTGGGAACCCACGACCTCCTGCTTTCTTGTGCAGATGTCTTACCACTCGACCACCGAGCTAACGGGATCGGTTGGCTGGTTCGAATCTGATGTTATATACATCAGATGCTATATACATCAGATTCGAACCAGCCAAACGATTCCGTTAGCTCGGTGGTCAAGTGGTAAGACATCTGCACTAGAAAACAGGAGGTCATGGGTTCAAGTCCCACCCGAGTGATTTTTTCCAACTTCACTCGGGAGGTAAAATACTGAGTATTCATTGTTTAAAAATGTCGGTTAAGGGCAAAACCTAATTTGAAGCAAAATGTAGTTTATTTTCTTAATTATCGTAAATAAGCATTAGACAAAAAACCTGAAATCGGTGTTTTTCATTTTAAGGAAGTCTAAAAAAGTGTAAAATGTTTTCACTAAGTGACCAAAAAGTCGACTCGTTAGCAGGGTCGGAAAAATCATACATTGGTCTACATGTTTCAGGAAGGGAGCATTCATAAGCGTGAGAATGATGTTGAAAGAGAACAGATGTGCACAAGCTCAACTGTAATATGACACATAAAAGTTACCAGTTTAATGTGTCAATGAAGTACAAATAATAACAGCTTCTGCAGTTTTATGTTCCCACCAAGTGACAAAAACTGTGTACAAAGTAATGGGGAAAATATGGGCATCCACGTATTCATGTTCTCATTAAGTGCAAAAAGGTTTTATTAATGAATTACTGTGTAATTAAGTAATATTTTTAACAAACGCCTATGATTTGAAGAGCAAATCATAAGCTATCGGACAATGCAAACATTTCCGAATTCTGTTACTGCAAAGAGGTTAAAAATATCTTTGAGAAAAGTAATAACTTAAAATGCTATTATCTTATGATGAACTTTTGCCAGATTTGGAGAGTTTTGTCACAATTTTAGCAAAGCAACGATACCATAGGCATGGCTAGAGGGGTGTTTCACAAAACACAAATTAAAATTGTTGAACAAAATCTTGGATTGACCGAAAGTTATTAATGAATGGGAATAATATATGTGCTTACCGGCCAAGCACATATTTTATTCCCTTAAGAATAGTGCCCTTATAAGTATAATAAAAGCAGACTGTGTTTTAGGGTAAGGCCCCCCAAAAAATACTCGGTCTCTGGTCAGCGCTCGCGTCAATTTTAATCATGCGCGTCAACCTTTTTTTTTTCTTCAAAATAACATGGAGGCTACAACAGGAGCACCAAGGAATGGGGAAATTGCACCAAGGCAAATGATAAAGGGCACCAAGGCAAATGATGGAGGACACCAATGTATAATGAGGACACAAAAAAGCAAAATAGTACCCACCTTGTCTGTACAATTGAAGCTTGAAAAAAAAAATCCACCCCCCCAAAAAAAAAAAAACCGCGTCGCCGCATCAATTCTGGAACTTTGGTCTGACCAGAGACCGATTATTATTTTATTTTGGCTCAAGTGGTTTCTTTACAGTATCATTTCTTTGTATCATCATATACATGTATTTTGCCACCCACTAGGTTCAAAAGTACACATGCATTGTGAAGTCAGACTCCTGCTCTATTTGTTATTTCCTACATTGTAGACATGAACAACAGGTGAAACATATTAAAGTTCTCTACTACCTTGGCAAATTTGGTTTGGTGGACAAGGACTCCTGTGATTTCAACACCTTGCCAGACCTGATCATGCACTACAGCAAGAACAGCCTGAGGGATGTCTTCAATGGGCTTCACTCCACCTTGAAAATACCATTGCGGGAATCCTCTACTGTCCAAGCCGCAAGTCAAGTCCCAGTACCAGTCCAGGGCAAAGCAGTGGCCAAGCCCGAACATAATGGTGAGCATTATTGATCATGTCATTTACTCTATACCACTGGCCTTTCGTGGTTGCTTGTGTGAAGAGAACACAGATTCAAAATGCAATTTTGATAGGTCACTTGCTACATTGCACATACTTTGGAAGCATTCGTGTTAGGCAAGGGATCAAAAATACTTTACCTGTTTGCATGGATGCGCACGCCAGGAATGCATTCTTTTGTTCGAGCTACCTCCCGTTCGCACGCGTGCGAAAGGTCCTCCCATTCTGCACGTGTTCCAATTCAACAAAAGGCCAGTCATGGTCTGTGCACACAGGAAGAGCTCGGCAACACTAAAAGTATGCGAAGAAAAATGTGTTCAGTCCTCACTACAGGAATGGTACTTACTGGCACCATGGATGGGGAAAGCAGTCCTTGGCAAACAGCACCATCAGGAAAAAATGAACTGTTGTGTAATAACCTTGGAGATTCAGTCCAGGTGCTATCTTTCACGGAAGAATCCCAAGAAACCAAACTCCCTTTTTATTTCGCTGAACAGTAATGATGTCCCTTACTGAGCCAAACCTAATTTCGATGTAATGCATCTCTTTTTAATTCTTAGTAGAACGCTGATTGTAATAATGGCCGACAGCTACATTCAATTAACTCTTTAACCCTTACTCTCTGAGGGTAGTTTACTGCATGTCAGTTGGTTATGCCAATGCCCTCCAGCTGCAGTTTATTGGCAGATAGTTTTATTTAACAGTGAAGGCTCCAATTGGCAGGAGTTGGAGGCCCTGGAGGGTGCCTGATACTGACCAGCTGGGGGCACTCACTTTGTTATCAGAGGACTCTCATTGTTCTCTGTGGCATGTATTGGAGTGCCTGTCCAGTTACCCTTGAAATGACATGGCAGATATTGGAGGGCCATGCAAAAAACATAGGAGATTTTCTTGAGGCACATATTGGCATGCGTTGGAGGGTCTAGTAGGGTAAGGGTTAAGGTCAGCTGTCCATCATTGTGCAGAAATATATTTTGGGGATTTTATTGCAACTTTTTGCCCAGTCCGACCGCATTATTTTATTCCGAGTATCAAGCCTATCCAAAAAAAGTTAACCCTTCCCATCTCAGCATTCTTTTTATTGGAACCTGGACGAGAAATCTTTTTCCGCCCCGCCCGACCACGTAATTACTATTTTTGGCGAGCTGCGAAGCAGATGCGAGCCTATGTAATACCAATTTCCATCTGTCTGTCCGGGCGCCCGTCCGGCCGTCCGCGTTCAGATAAAAATGTTGAAGTTTTTGATTCTAGTTAACTTGGGGAAAAAAATTAAATGCAGTTGTCATGACTAATGTATCATCTCTATAACTTCAGTTAGGTTCATATCATTGCAGTAAATGTTATGATTTTATTGAGGAACTTTAATTCAAGGAAATGTTAAAGTTTTTAATTGTTACATGTACATGTATACTTGTATAACATATACATGTGTGTATACCGGTATAACATGTACATGTACACTATGCATTTTGGGGATGTGCATGAGCTTCTGGTTTGATCTTTTAGTTTATGGGGTTGGAGTAGGGATGGGGTAGGGGAGGGTGGGGTGGGGTGGGTTGGGGATAGGGTTGGAGTTAGGGTTTGTGTGAGTAGGATGAGTAGGGGAGCTAGGATGGGTGGGGCAGGGTGGGTTGGGGTGGGGTGGGGAGAGGGGTTGGAATATTTGGTTTGGGTGGGGTGGGGTGGGAACAGGTAGGGAGAGACAGGTAGGGGGAGACAGGTAGGGAGAGGATGGGCATGGATGTAGGGGTTGGGTTAGGAGGGGGTTGGGCAGGGGGCGGGATATAGGATCGGAGTAGGGGTTGGGTTGGGAATGTGTAGGGATGGGTTGTTGTAGGGGTTGGATAAGGGGAGGGGGCAGTACCCAGTATATAGGGATCAGAGTAGGGGTTGCATGGGGTCAGGTGGGGATGTATGGGTGGGGGAATGGGGTGGGCGGGATATTGGAATTCGAGTAAGGGTTAGGGTGGGGATGTGTAGGGTGGGTAAGGACAGATAGGGGAAGATAGGGTAGGTGGGTGTAGGGGGTTGGGATAGGGGAGGGTACGGGTCAGGGGAGGGGAAGGAGATAGGGATTGGAGTTTGGGTGGGGTTGGGATGAGTAGGTGATGGGGTGGGGATGATTAGGGGAGGATGGAATGGGTGTGGGTAGGGGGTTGGGTGGGGGAGGGGGAGGGGCGGGGCGGGTTGGGGATTGGGTAAGGTTTTGGGATGGGGTAAGGTTTAGGGGAGGTGGTGATGGTGCTGTGTCTACATGTACATGTATACCCATTCTTGTTCTGCATTTGTGGCGACTACACAAGAGTTTTCCCATGGTAATACAAGTATGGGGAGCAGAAGACACTGTTGGGGCTGCAAAAATCCACAACTGGGTCCTAATTACCCTAACAATGGAAAACTCCCCATAATACAGTGACGGCTAACCTATATTCACATGTATTTATTAGGTAATCTGTTGACTTTTTATGTTGACATTTAAAAACTGACCCCTACACCTAGGCACATCAACAAGAATCCTGATCCCCTTCCATCATGCCCATCCTCAACCCTACCTTCAGCCTCCCTTCCTGCCTTGGACAGCGAGCCATGGCGGCTTCGCCGTTCTAGTTATTCCGAGTATCCATCCTGCAAAAAAATATTACAGGGGTGTGATTTGTTCGGATTTTTCCGGATTTCCGGAATTTTAGTCAAAAGTCTGCGGAATCCAGATTTCCAACATTTTCTGTTTCTGTAATATCGCCCGCAAATTTCTGGCAAAATATAGACCCTAATTTACGATAATGGATGGACTGGTGACAAGTCTAACAAGCAATGCGGTCAAGAACCTGATAGACACCAATGCAATGTGGGCAGTGGAGTACTTGACGACCAGACTAAAAATTATTTTCAATGGGTTTGATGCACCTCGTGTTGGTATATCGCGTGTGGATGTGTGTGTATTGTGCATGTACTGTGCACTGACAATTATGAGCTAGCAATACGCAATCACATTGGTATCAATATTGCCGCGATGAGAACCATCAGATGTGTGAGATTTTGATCAAGGAATTTAAAAGTATGGTTGGAACATGGAGGTAGAATGGTTGGAAGAACTGGTAATCAAGCGTCACTGTGGATGGAATTCAGTTTGAGCTGCAGTAGTGCTTTGAAAAATAGCCACCACCAACACAAAAACGTTTTGGAAGCCTGGGAGTTTATAAGTAAGATTAGTAACTTAGCACCGGCGTTAATATTTTTTTGTGAATCGTTTCTTTCATTCATATTCATAGCCCTACACGAACCAAATCACAAGGTGTTACCATGACAAATCACAAGGTGATACCGCGACAATTCATAGCCCTACACGAACCAAATCACAAGGCGTTCCCGCGACAATTCATAGCCCTACACGAACCAAATCACAAGGTGTTACCACGACAATTCATAGCCTTGTGATTTGTCATGGTAACACCTTGTGATTTGTTTCGTGTAGGGCTATGAATTGTCGTGGTAACACCTTGTGATTTGGTTCGTGTAGGGCTATGAATTGTTGTGGCAACGTCTTGATTTGGTTCGTGTAGCGCTATGAATTTTTGCAGTAAGGCCTTTGGATTTGGTTCGTGTAGGGCTATGAATTGTCGCGGTATCACCTTGTGATTTGTCATGGTAACACCTTGTGATTTGTTTCGTGTAGGGCTATGAATTGTCATGGTAACACCTTGTGATTTGGTTTGTGTAGGGCTATGAATTGTCGTGGGAACGCCTTGTGATTTGGTTCGTGTAGGGCTATGAATTGTCGCGGTAAGGCCTTTTGATTTTTATATCCCATGTTTTAATTTTGGGTATTCTTGCCATGATATGAAATTACAGATAATACATTGACATTTCATATTTGACCTCTGATGAACTTTGTGAGGTCAATGAACTTTGTATACTCTGATTGCTGTTATTTATCCAGTTTAATTTCCAAATGCCACTTTTTCATGACCGGCATCTAATTAGTGCAAAAGGAGTGTATTTTAATAATTATTCTACAGCATGTCATGAAGTCAGACCCCAAAGATTTTTTTGCATGACCTCTGATCTCAATTTTCCTTTTTATAAGGGTAGACACAGAGGTGCAACAGATTATAAGAGGCACATTGGACAAGCATCACTCTCTAACAGTGACAATTGGGCTTGGTAAAAAGGTTGAAAAGTGGTTATCCAAGTCCATCCGGATACAGCAGGGTGTAATAAGTACACAAGAGTGAATATTGCTTGACATACACATTTTCCATTACAAAACAGACCCACAGATTACTATTTCAATCTCATCATATTGCATCTGCCAATAAAACAAGGAGAAACAAGATCAGAGGTCACCTCTAAATTGTTTAATAATAATAATAGTGGATATTTGTAAAGCGCACGTATCCACCAGGACTGGTGCTCAAGGCGCTACATCATTATTATTACCCCTGCTCATTGGGCACATGAAGCATTCCAAATACCATCTCAGCTCCCTGGGGAGTATACAGCTCGATGCAAGGAAGCTTATTCAATCACAGTAACCATCTCTGCTCTCACAGGTACCCATTTACTCCTGGGTGGAGAGAAGCAATGTGTGACAAAGTGCCTTGTCCAAGGGCACACACACTATGACCCCGCCAGGACTCGAACCCACAACCTGCAGCTTTACCCACAGACCACGAATCAGTGCCCTTAACCACGAGGCCACAGCACTCCACTGTTTGTGGGGTTTGAATTCATAATATGACTGTAAACTAATAGGTGCAACAGCAATACCATTCTATGGCACTAGTTAGGCTTGGGTCTCGTGAAAAAATGGCGTTTTGACGAATAAATATGATAAATAAAGGCAACTAAGATATACAAAGTTCATTGACCTCTCCAAAGCATCACTACATCAAATAATTATGATGTCCCCATATCTGAACATTCTTTTCATGGCACAAAGAGTTCAGTTTTAGACGTGGGTCATGAAAAAAGTAGCATTT